TATATCACATGAAAAAAGAGCATCTCTTATACGATATCTATGCTATCGATTGGCGAGTAGTGAATGGATTAAACAATAATTAGTGATACAGTAGTGAGTCGTCCTTTTCAATGGATGGCCCCTTTTTGAATGCCTTTTAGTGATGGAAACCCTTCATTGAAATACAATTGATAGCGAGAGACAAAACACTCGCTTTTCATATATCACTAAGAGATTAGGAAATGTATGACAAAAAAGTTTGCGTCCATTATATAGGGAGCGGACATTAGGAGCTAGGAATCCGTCAAGAGAAATTACATGATTTAATTTGAGCTTGGTAGATTTAATTAAAAATATTTTTTTTGTGTTTTTTGTCGACTCGTAGGCCGGCCCGGCGCTGATGTACGACGCCGTGTACGCCCTGTCCCGCGGGTTACACTCATTGCAGCAAAACTCGCCGTTTTTGCTACGGTTCCCAAACAACGCGTCGTGCGATTCGGAGATCTCCTGGACGGACGGCTCATCCCTTTTTAATTATATCGATTCCGTACGTGATTTTCATGTATATTATATGAGAATATTCTGTGAGGAATATATTCTGTGTGTGTGTGTGAATGTATGTGTGTGTAAGTAATATATCATATATCCGTATAGTTGATGATTAGGTAGAAGAATATATGAGATGAGGAATATTCTCGAGATATTCACTATTCATATAACGATTTCCCAAATGGTTTGCCGATGTGTTTGATGTAACAGCGAATGTCTATGTATTGCTGGTTATGATTAAACAGTTGTCTGTAGTTTCTGTGATACAATATTCTCGAGATATTCACTATTCATATAACGATTTCCCAAATGGTTTGCCGATGTGTTTGATGTAACAGCGAATGTCTATGTATTGCTGGTTATGATTAAACAGTTGTCTGTAGTCTCTGTGATACTCTCTATCATTCTCTCTCTCTCTCCCTCTCTCTCTCTCTCTCTCTCTCTCTCATTCCTTATCTAAATATTAGATGAAAATGAAAACCAGAATCTAATCAGAATTAATGGAAGCGAATGGCGAGAGAGAAATAAATGTTGTTTTTTCTGTGAGTGAGATGTGAGCGAAAAATAATTATATAAATTCATAATCATTCATACATTTGTGCGAATGTCATGTTTCCATGTAGTTGCGTGTATGCGAGACAACCATGGTGTTTTTGTTTTTTATCCTAAATCTAACATTATTTACACACCGATATGTGTCGTAATGCTTTATCCGATTGTTTTTGTTGTGTAATCCGATTTAATTACTTTTAGTAGTAGTTGTTGTTTATTCATACTAGATAATAAATTTGATAAAATTATTTTTATTATCGTTTTCAATTAATTTAATATTTAGATTAAGATTTAATAATTTACTGTTGAGTTCCTAGTAATCCGTATAAATATATACAGTATATAGTTAAGCCTGTTATTATTTTTATCATAAAACATAAAAACATAAAAACATTTTCAGTATTTATACATAATATTGAATTTTTATGGAAATATGTTATGTTTCCAAATATAATGGCTTAGTAGTGAAAATAAAATTATAGTATTTTTATGATACAGTAGTTAATATTATAATAAAGTATTATTTTACGATTGAAATGACTTTTTTTAGCTATGGATTAAGACAATAAAATAAAAAACAAGCACAACTTTTACGAGTGTTTTGTGTATACTTTTATGATTAAAATATTTTCTCAATTAAATAGATTGAAGTTTTTGTTGGAAAAAGGATTACTTTTTTTTCATTTATCTGTTTAATAGCCATAAAACTATTGGCAAATATTATGAAATGTCTGTTTTAAGCATGTTTAAGTTATTATATTTTACTTACTAGTTAAAATATTTACATTATATTCAGGTTACGTTTTGTAATATAGCATAAAAATATTTTTAATCTGAATTTTATGTATCATTTTTATTTTTTATAGCGAAAAATATAAGATATAATGTGTCAGTAGTGGTAATCCTAGTGTAGACTAACACACAGTCTTATGGTAAGGATTATGGGGATTGAGAAAGAAATAAAGAAAGAAAGAAAGAGAGAGAGAGAGAGAGAGAGAGATTCATTTAGGAAATCGAAACCGACTTAACATTAAAACGATTTTTTCTTTTCACCAGAAAAGAGACCATAAATTCATTTATAAATCATTTTCAGTCGCAAACCTAATCGATAGTATAGTAACCCATTTCTACTACTAAATAGAAGCGAGCACAATTTATATACAAATCGTCAAACATAGACTTGACGAAAAAAATATATTTAAGATTAAAATTGAAAATACAATAAAATCTTAAATGTCAGGAATATTTGAGAATAGTTGAGATTCTTATTCATAAATACAAATCACACAGAATATTCTGTGGGGATTTGAATTTTTATTTAATTTAATAAATATTTGATTTGCAAAGTCATGTATACGTATGAATATATTTGAATTGGGTATCACTTAAGCTATGGTACGGCTGGTTAGGCAGGAAATTATGGCTAAATATAGTATGATATGAGAGATGCCGTACTTGAAATTGTGCATGATGAGATGTGAATGGCACTCGTGACTGAGTATTACCATAACGAGTAAAAACAAATAATACGACAATAAATAGATCAGGGAGTTTTTGGTGTTTTTATATTAGATGTGAATTTATTTATAATATATTAAATGCTGTCAAATACTAAGCATTCATATATTGAATACCAATTGAAAGCTTTAAGCATTGAATAAATGATTTCATATATACTTGAATTCAATTGACTGTCAATTTTAATGTAAATATTAAATTTGGTTTGAATTTTGAGAATTCAATATTAAATTTAAAAATATAATTATTATACATATGATTATTATTTAATATATGCTAGTAGACTTTTTATATGTGTGTGTACTATATTACATAATTTAAAATTGTTATTTGAATAGTTTATAATGAAGTTTACATTAAATATAACGAAATTATTTATTTACAAGCTAGCATTTTATTAGGTTTAAAACCTTTTAATAAAAATTACATTAACTTTAATAAAATAAATTAAATCCAATTTTACACACTAGTCCACAGAATATACAGAATATTCTTTACAAATATTACACACAGAATGATAAATTAAATTCAATTTCCGATCAAAATTGGATTATACCCCGTATATATATATATAACCATTAAACAAAAACAAAAAGTAAACGGCTTTCCTATCATATAATAATTGATCAAAAAATTTTAGGTCGACTTTCACGGCTTAACCGGAAAGGTATCGTTCAAAGAAGGCGTTCGTTCGGGCGTTAAAATGGATTTATTAAAGCTTAGACACCAGGAGCTCGACAAAGTATGTATGCCATACCAGTCCTATAGGGCTGCCAGTCCCCGATACCCAGTCCATTGTATTTCAAGATAAAAACTTTTGTTTTATGTTTTATCTCTTTTTTTGTGTGCATTTTGTTTGGCTTTTTGTCATCGATTCTCGTGTGGACTAAAAGGTCGGAGAATTCACTATCGATTCCGGACTTAATATAACAAAACTTCACGCGTTTCGAGAGTTTGGTTACAATAATATTACGCTCAAAGTCACTACCATTGAGGTGAGGGTGATCTTGATCAATTAATTTAATTTATCATATTAGGTTATTGAGTCAATTGATGTGTTTTTAGTTTTTACGCTAATATAATTTATGAGGTATTTTTTGCTGCAAATTATATGATATACTGTAGTACTTTCCATATACTCTATTAATATACAGTAATATGATATAAAGTACTCGTAAACCAAAAAATCCACTTATAGTTAATTAATACAAATATTATTCATTCATTATATGAATAGTTTATACCTCTCTGACACATAATCCGTAAATATATACGGAATTTCTCATTAATTAAAATAATTTCATAATTTGATTTCATATTTGAAAATATATTCAAAATATTTTCATTTATGTGATAATAAACGCGAGAAAATCATAGCGCAGAAAGTATTTACGAAAATATTTTTCTATACTATTGTATATTATATTATATTATATATAAGGTGTTAGGATAGGAAAAATCAATTAAAATTCCTGAGATATCTATATCTTAATTATATGACCAGTGAAAAAAATGTCATAAATATCCGCACCGATTGGCGTGAGTGTCAATTATATGGGCATAACTGAGCCAAACGCCTAATCCATTGGCATTTCTCTCGCAAGCAATTCAGTGATCAATGGCTTTCAATCACCCGGTTATGAGTGGTATAGCCATTGAATGCACCGAGACTTCTGTGTGTATATAACTGTCCGAAAATACAGTGCAAATGCACTCAACGTCTGAAACTTACATTTTTCTCATGAATCATAAAAGCGATTGACTTTTTCTCTCTCTTAATATTTTTTGAGTCTCTCTCTCTCTCTCTCTCTCTC